CTGTGATACAGCCAAGCACATACCCCCTGAGGAGTGGGACTCAGTGCAGCTCTGCAAGGAACCACTGGCCCAAACTCATGAAATATGTGTTCTCGGCCCTCACTGTCAGTGGTCGGAGCGTTACAACCCCTGAAGCAGGTGGCAGGAGTCCCTTTTTGTGTTGCTACTTTTCATTGGCTGGTTTCTTGTTTTCTGCACATAGTTCAGGCATGGCCTAGTGCCCAGCCATGGACATGCTGGGCCTGTGCCCAGAGTGGGAGGAAGGTCCATCCTGGAAAAGCAGGGTGCTGCTCAGGCAGGATGTTCTAGAAGCATCTCTGCAGTTCCCAGTGTGCACTGGGGGAGCCATCAGGCTGCAGGGAGTGGATGTATGGGTTGTGCGCCACAAAACTGCAGGGGACACAGGAGTCTGGAGAAGGGAGACTGGGAGGCTGCTGTAGCATCCAGGCCCAGGGTGAGCAGGAGTACAGAGCTGAGCTGCTGGGGCTACAGGATGGAGGGAGGGAGGCTGCACTGAGTGAATTGTAGAGGGTGAGTGCTAATGTGGCCAGGAAGTCAGGAGAACACGTGGGAGGGAGCGGGGAAGAAGTGTACAGAGAGGGGTGCTAGGCCATGACTCCTGTGAGACTCCTGAGGAGATGGGTGGTAACTGGACACGCCCACCTGAAGGTGGGGCCCAGGTCAGGGCTGGAACCCACACACGGGGCTCACTTGCATGTACTTGGAACTGGAGACCAGCCCAGGTTAGGTTACCAGGGAGCGGGTGGAACTGGATTCCCAACTAAGGTGGGAGGGTGCTGGGGCCTTTTGTTTGCTGCATCTGAGAGGGTGGCATTGAAGAGCATTGAGGAACAGTTGAGGAACATAGTTGCAGGGCGCTGGGAGGCTGCTGCTCTCTGAGTGGTGTGGGCATTTGGGAGAAAGGCAGGTGGCTGGTTGGGAGGCAGCCTTGAAGGCACAGTGGAAGAAGTGCTTTTTCGTTGTGTCCTGTGAGCTTGCAGCCAGCATTCATTTGTTCATTCTTTTTTTCTTTCCTCCCCTCCCCTCCCCTCCCCTCCCTTCCCCTCTCTTCCCCTCTCTTCCTCTTATTTCTCTGTCACACCGCCCCCCCCCTTTTTTTTTAAAGATTTATTTTGGAAAGAGTTACAGAGGGAGAGAGAGAGATCAATCTTCCATCTCCTGGTTCACTCCCCAAAAGGTCACAATGGCCAGGGCCGAACTCAGGAGTTTCTTTTGGGTCTCCCACATGGGTGCAGGGGCCCAAGCATCTGGGCCATCTTCCACTGCTTTCCCAGGTGCATTAGCAGGGAGCTGGATCAGAAGAGGAGCAGCCAGGACACAAATGGTGCCTATATGGGATGGTGGCACGTGCTCCCAGCTGTTGTCCTTTCTAACAGCCTGGACAGTGGAGACCATAGCTCTCCTTGGCTGTTCTCTTTGGGATAAGAGTTCTCTCTGAGTCGGAGGAGAGACCCAGAAGCAATTTTTTGTTGTAAGTTGTAGACTTTGAACACAATGAGAGTTTTTAAATTCTGTTTTTGATCTTTGGATTCAAAAGCTTCTGAACCTGCGATAAGATTACTTTCGTTTTGGTTACAAAAGCTCTCAGCGTTTTTCTCTGTTAAAAGAAGAATTGGCCAGGGTGCTTCCATGGTGGCTTAACAAACACATGTGGCCCCTTCTGAACTGCCGCTGCATCCTCACTGCAAATCCTGCTGTCTCCGGCATTAGAAGCAGACAGATCCTGCTCTTGAGGAGAGGAGGCTGGGCCGGAGGCACCTGTCAGAGCGAGGCCCCACTGTACCTGACTTACTGTTTCCTAACAGAGTGTATGTAGCTGGGACGTCAGCATGGTATTTACTGGCTTGTGTTGTCCAGGTAAGAAACCTGGAGCTTCTTGGGGGCCGAATTAAAACTATCGGTGATGCCAGCTTTCCTTCAGTTCCAGCATGGCCTTTCATGGTGTCAGTAAGGAAAATGCAAGGGAGGCGTAGTCTTCCACTGCAGAAATTCTCCACGAGGCCCTCCTGAGCCATGCCAGTGAGATTGCAGGGGATGGGGAGGGATGGGCATGAGAGGCCCCAGGAAGTAGCGTGAACCAGGGTGGGTTGACCCCCTGGCAGTGGGGTGTCATGGAGTGGTTTTCTAGATAGGTGATGCAGTTCATCGGGGAGCTGTGGGAGGGGTGCAGATTGCCCCTTGTGGCAGCATCACACCCCATGGGGACAATTAATGTTTGAAGACGTGTGCTTTGGTCGGGATACGGTTTGAGTGTGTCCTGTGAGGGTTTGTGTGGTGTGGAGGCTTGGGCCTCTGTGTGGTGGTGCTGAGGTGATGGTGCCTTTAGAAGGGGGTTAGGAGGGCTGGTGCAAAGTGATCAGGTTGTTGGAGGCCTTCCCCTTGGGAGGGGCTAATGTGGAGTGAGTGAGTTCCTACAAGAGTTGTAGAGTCCGGCCCCTCCCATCCCCTGGCTTCCTGTCTCAACAGGTGGTCTCGTCATGATGCCACCAGACACGCTGTGACACAGCCAAGGAGGCCCTCACCATAGGCTGAACAGGTGGCTGCTGATCTTCCACTGTTAGCCTTCAAAACTGTGAGCTGAATCCATCTCTTGCTTTTATAAGTAGCACAAGTTCTCGGCCTCAGCATCTTGCTACACTAACAGAAAATGGACTAATACAGCGTGCCATATGTCAAGTACTGTGGGTGGAAGACTTCAGAACCGTGCTCAGAGTTAGAGGCAGTGAGAGGACAGCCGACAGGACTGAGAGGTGGGCTTTTCACTGAAGGACCTGTCCCAGGGCAGGAAAGGAGGAGACGCAGTTGAAGGCCCGTCAGCGGAACGTGTGACATCTTCTGGATTATGGGTATGGAGAGAAACACTGCATACTTCCTGAGCTCACAGCGTATTGTGAAAGCAAGTCACCTATCCCACCCTCAGCAGGCCAGGCAGGATGGAGAAGAACTGTGAGGTCTTTGGATGGTTTTTGACCCCACCTGGTAACTGAATGCCAATGATTGTCAAGTGTTTTTTCCCTTCAAAATTGTACTTAAAAAGCGCACTGCCACCAATCCCTTTGGGTTTTTCCTCTCTTGGAAGCCCCTCTCCACGCTGCTCTGGCTGGTAGCCTTTGACTCTAATAAGTACTTTTAAATCTCAAGAAAAGAAAAAAAATGGCCGGCACCATGGCTCAATAGGTTAATCCTCCACCTGCGGCACCAGCACACTGGGTTCTAGTCCCGGTCGGGAAGCCGGATTCTGTCCTGGTCGCTCCTCTTCCAGTCCGGCTCTCTGCTGTGGCCCGGAAGTGCAGTGGAGGATGGCCCAAGTGCTTGGGCCCTGCATCCGCATGGGAGACCAGGAGAAGCACCTGGCTCCAGGCTTCGGATCAGCCTGGTACGCCGGCTGCAGCGGCCATTGGGGGATGAACCAATGGAAAAGGAAGACCTTTCTCTCTCTCTCTCTCTCTCTCTCTCTGTCAACTCTGCCTGTCAAAAAAAAAAAAAAAAAAAAAAAAACACAACGAATGGACAGAAAAGAAAAAACACTGCATAAACTCTTCAGAACTTAAAGTATTAAATCCATACTCTGTGAGGCTAGGACATGTGTTTTGGAAAGAGCGATACTTTTCACATAAAGATGGCTAAGACCAAAACTGTAACATGTGGGCTGGAGGACTGGCTTTGCTCTTCTCAGACCCACTGGACACCTGTCCATATTGATGTTTCCATTCCAGAAGGAACGTAGAGAAGCTGGAGAGCTCCATAGAAGTCCTTCCTTCCTTCATTCCTTCCTTCTCAGAGAAGGACAGGCAGAGAGGTCTTCCATACACTGGTTCACTCTTCAAATGGCAGCAATGGCTGGAGCTGCACCAATCCAAAGCCAGGAGCCGGGAGCTTCCTCCTAGTCTCCCATGTGGGTGCAGGGGCCCAAGGACTTGGGCATCTTATACTGCTTTCCCAGGCCATCACAGAGAGTTGGATTGGAAGTGGAGCAGCCAGGACTCGAACCGGCGCACCCATATGGGAGGCCGGCACTGCAGGCGGCGGCTTTACCCACTACACCACAGCACCAGCCCCAGAGAAATACTTTTTTTTTTTTAATTTATTTGACAGGTAAAGTTATAGACAGAGACAGAAAGGTCTTCCTTCTGTTGGTTCACTCCCCAAATGGCTGCTATGGCCGGCGCTGCACCGATCCAAAGCCAGGAGCTTCTTCCTGGTCTCCCACGCGGGTGCAGGGGCCCAGTGATTTGGGCCGTCTTCCACTGCTTTCCCAGGCCATAGCAGAGAGCTGGATCAGAAGTGGGGCAGCCGGGACTCGAACCAGTGCCCATATGGGATGCTGGTACTACAGGCAGTGGCTTTACCCGCTACACCACAGCGCCGGACCTGAGAAGTACTTTCAATATTACTCAATTATTATTCAGTATTCAATATAAAAGTTACGAGAAGGAAAAACTGTCATGCAAAAATCTCTGAAGAAATGGGATATGTTTAAATTATTAAATAAGACAGGAAGTTTTGAAAAATATTCTGGTGGTGAGAGGTTTTAGCTCCCAAGGCAGATGTCAAAATTTAGTATCCCAGTGAGTTTTTAAAAAAGGAAATGTTCAAGATTCAGACATGAAGTGACTGGCCAGTAAATAGACTCATGGTTAGAATAAAAAAATCAAGGAACCGAAAATGATCTCAATAGTATGCCACTGTGTTTATAAGCTTTACTTAAAGTGAAATTAGAGTATAAAACCCATTTGACAATATATAAGTACAAATCCCCAAAAAATTCCCTCAAAACAAAAGCATGTGTAGGTGCTCTGAACAGTGCAAAAACTTACATGTGTTAAATACATAGACAACTCTTGTTTAACGCAACACAGATTTTATACTAACCTCTGTAATCAATTTCAATCAAAAGTGACAAAAGTATTTCAGTGTGGTTGGATCCATCTCTCTTTTTTTTTTTTTTTTTTTTGGACAGGCAGAATGGACAGTGAAAGAGAAGAGAGGTCTTCCTTTGCCGTTGGTTCACCCTCCAATGGCCACTGTGGCCAGTGCGCTGCGCTGATCTGAAGCCAGGAGCCAGGTGCTCCTCCTGGTCTCCCATGCAGGTGCAGGGCCCAAGGACTTGGGCCATCCTCCACTGCGTTCCCGGACCACAGCAGAGAGCTGGCCTGGAAGAGGAGCAACCGGGACAGAATCCGGCGCCCTGACCGGGACTAGAACCCGGGATGCCAACGCTGCAGGGAGAGGATTGCCTATTGAGCTGCGGTGCCAGCCAGATCCAGCAGTTTCAATGAAGTCCACAAATGTGATGTGAAATTGTTAAGTGCTGTAAGCTGACAGCCACAGTACCTGTAGAGAAATGACTCCTAGGACACTGAATTTTGTTAGAAAAAAATACACACCCTGCTAATGTTCAGATCTGAAATGAAGAATGAGGTAATTTTGTTTTTCCTTTGTAGGATCCTGTGCTCTACATCCTGGATCATACATAGAATGTTAGACCAGGATGGAGCCATAGCAATGATGGCTAAGCCTCTCATGGGGCTGAAGAAGACCAAGGCCGGGCTGGAGTCGTGAGTGAGGGGAAGGACAGGCTGCCAAGACATGGGCCTGGAGCCTGTGGTGTCGAAGTTCTTCACGAATGAGCCATCTCAGGTGGGTGCTTCTCTCCAGTTCTCTGGAGCACTTTGGCTCCTTGGTCAAACCAGCTTTAGATGGTTACCCTACCATGCACCATTCAGCAAACGGAAATAGACAATCCAATCCCAGGAGTAGCAGATGTGCCCCTGGGGTAATAGGCCTGCCTCCCAGGGATGTGGCTGAAGCTAGAGGGTGCTGGGTGACAGGAGGGTTGTGATGTGTACCCTGTTCCTCCTCTGAGATGTGAGGGGGTGGTGTGTGAATGTGCTTTCAAGGGCTGTTCATTTAAACTGTGGGTCCCTGTGAGTTCATGCAGGAAGCCGGAGGCCACCTGGCTGTTCTCCAGCTCCTGAGGCACCATTTCTTGTCCCCTGCTCGTAGCTGGGGAACACCTGCCTCTAAATCTTTGGGTAATGGCCAACTCCACGTCAGTGAATTTCTGCAAAGGTGTACAGTGTGCGGTGCAGCCGTGTTCAGTTGGTTTGTCTGTCCCCACCTCCCTCTCCTTTAACCTGAGGAAACCTCTGTTCACATCTGGAGAGAGAGGGGCGTTCCTGGTCCTTGTGTGCTTTTGTCTGAGTGTGCATGTTAGGAAACTGATGTTAAGCCCAGTTAGCAAAGTGTGCTTGGAGTTAATAACTTAAAAAGGTACCACGCGAAAGCCGCTTGCTGACGCTCTGCGTAGCTGATGGCCAGCTACACAAGCACATAGATCTTTTGCAATCTTTTAGGGACCCAGGATGACTGGAAATGAAGCAGAGAAAAACTCATCACTAAAACATATTCGAAGGTATTGGCTATGATGTTAGAACCCTGTGGGCTTGGCACAGGGAAGCTTTCTTTTGTCTAACGATTCAGGAGGCTCAGCTTGGGAGTTTTCCCTGGCAGGGGCTGCAAGTGCTAAGCAGTGTCCCCTCCCCTTGGGAAGAAACGAAGTCTAAACTTACAACAGGGCCCCATCTTGACATTGCTTTTCCCTTTTGAGGTCAGTGAGCGGTGCCATCTGCTGCCCGTTTCCTCCCCTTTCAGTGGAGTCAGGGTTATTTTGATCGCACACTGCAGTGCCTCTCGTTTCAAGCATCGCGTAGTTGACTTTCGACGCTCGGCCAGGCCTGCTTCCTCAGGTTTTCACTATATCCTGTTGTATGTGTGGTGAGGGCAGCTGATGAGTCACATGATGTTTTGCTGCTCCAAACAACAGAAATAGAGATTCAAAATAACCCTGCAGAAGAGTATCTCCAGTGTTTACCAAACACACTGCTCCAAAACCTGTTTTTCTACAGTTCAGGTGCTTTGTATAAAAAGAGCCTTATGGGGGCCGAGTGAGGGTGGCTGGCTGTACAGCGTGGGCAGCAGCAGCTGGCTTACAGGCTGGCCGAGGACACAGAGGTGCAGAAAGCTCAGCTCCAAGTCCCCACCACCTCTTCCAAGGACCTCGTGTGCTGCATTGCCAACTGGGTTACCCAACAGGGAAGGCAGGACTTGGAACATACCAGATCCCTGCTCCTGGGCCAGGCCCTGCTCTACCTATCTGTAGAGGTGAGCTCACCTGCAGCCATTGGCCAGCAACCACAGCCGGGTGACACAAACCAGCACGCGCTGTCCTGGGCATGGGTCTGCTTAGAGATGCACTGCCGTAGAAAGATTTCTAAATAGGAGAGAGTGCTTCACGGGGTAATGCAATTGACAACAATACAAATGCTTCCTGTTTTGTCACGCTCTCCCTCCTGCTTGTTTGAAGGAAGAAAAGAAAATCCAGAGAGCTACCGAGTCTTACAGTTGATGTTTTTTAGAAACCAAAGGTACAAAAATTTCCTTCCCTGGCCCCTTCCATCCAGAAGAAAAGCTCCCCAAATGGGGAACAGTCATGCAGATGGGGAACTGCTGACTTTTCTCACTTCCTCCTCAGAAGAGTCATGACTGTCCCAACCCTGAGACCCAGAAGGGACTGCGAGTGAAGACCACTGGTGCTGCCTTGCAGGCTGGGGAAGCGCGGGCCTGCCTCCCTGCTGGGCCTCCTGCCCGCTGTACCTCCCAGGATTACTGCAGGAAGACTCAGAGTGAAGCGTAAAGTGCTTTAACCAGAGCAGTGACGCTTTACTCAGCCCCACGGGAGGTATCTTAAACCAACAATAAGCAGTGCAGCGTCTCAGGGAATCAGCCATCCATGGACAACTCCTGGCCAGACCACTGGCTGATGCTAAAAAAAAACCAAAAAACAAAAACCAAAAACAAAAACAAAAAAACAAAACAGAAGAGTACCTGTGGTACAGACAAGCCTGTGGCAGGCCCTGAGGGAGAATGACTGACTTTGACCCAGAGATGTGAACAGATGCCTTCAGGGTCCCAGTGAGAGTTCCAGACCGTGAGGGGTTCCTGCTCAACACCCCCTGAACCACGTGGCTAGCAGGCCCAGTCCCGTGACTTCCCTGGAGCGAGCCTCATCTAGTTCTTTCTGCTTAGTGCTTGAATGTCCTCCCCACAGCAGTCCACACTGAGAATGATCTCCTGTGTCAGCCTGCGGGGTGGCCTCTCTAGAACAGGCCACCAGCGGAGCTGCTGGACCTCAGAGGAAATCCACACTGCAGGGAGGCCATGCTTTGAGGTACTCCAGCTCATTTCTCAGCAGCTAGATGACAAACTGCTCGGTACTCTGGATTTCTAATAGTGTCTGTCTATGAGCCGTCACTCAACCTTGAGAAAGTCACACCTGCTCTTCCATGGGCCTTGACCTGAATCTCACAGGCACAGTGCCCTTTTAAATACATCTGTCAGCTGAAAAGAAACAACGTGTCAGGGGATTGCCCCCCAAACAACTCTAATGTGGGCAGGGGACATGTTCCCTGCCTCTGTGCTAAGCTTCTGGACGACAGGATTCTTGGAACAGATGCAGAACACGCCAGCTCCACACCTGCTTTGGATGTTAAGGGGTTTGTGTGGCTGTGACTTGAGCAGCCCAAGTGAAGGACACGGCGGAAGGGTCGTGTGCTTCCAGGTGAAAGGTCTGAACACGTCCTGGGGAAATCCTGGCTCTGTGGTCATGTTCTGGCATCGCCTCCCGCGTTCTCGGCAACCCCAACACAGTGATGGCTCATTTACTGCCATCGCTGGGGTTTAATTACGTGTTTTAGTTCCACAGCAAAGAGTATGCAGCTGATCTTTGCTGGATTTTGAGGGAAAGAATTTGCTTTTTCCGCTGGATCTTTAAATGCCAACCTCAGAAGCATGAACCACAGGCACACATGTTAAAAAATACTGCTGTTTAATTTTCTACTCATACGGTTTTAAAAAAGCTGATACAATTAGCTTTTCCCCCATCTTCTTAAATGTGCCTCTGAAGTCTACCACCCCCCCACCAAAAGAACTCTGCATCTTAATTTTCAGCACTGACACAAACGAAGGCAAAACGCTCCCAGGAAGCACAGAAGGACTTGTTGTCCCTAAGGGGCACACCGAGGGGCACACGGCCCCGGAACCCCATGACGTCCACAGCTGACTTTCTGGCCCTACATTCTTGTTTTCTGTGAGAATACGATGACGCAGCACAGAAAACACAGCCAACAGGCCTGGCTTTGTCTCCCTCGTGCCGCCTCAGCTTGCACTTCCATTCCCACTACTGTCTACTCTCAGGGATCCATTTCTTCCCAGGTAATGAAAAACAGTGATCACTCCTGACCTGGACACTCATCTGCAAATAATGGGCCGTGTACCCTGGTCACTGGTGCAGTACGCCAAGCAGTCGCCATGTTGTATTAGAGACATTTTATTGAAAATGCGAAAATAGGAAATGTATTATAGCCTAAAATAAATTACATAACATATACAGCATATATTTATATCTTTAAAATATTTTGTTTAGGTTCTTTCAGTCTAGGAATTTTGACTAAATCAAGAATTTAGTGAACTGTGTCCATAATTTTTTTTAAAGGAAAAAACCCGCTTTCCAAAACTTAGAAAAATATACTGCACTAAATGGATTTCAAATGCGTTACTTCAGGGAGTATCCCATAGTGACGTCAACAGCGTTTATAAAATGTCTTGCTTTACTGTGTGGCGTGAGAGGGAAGTACCATAGTACATTCCAGGCTACCTGTACCGCAGTCGAGACTAAAAGCGGCAGAACCAGGTCATAAATCTACTCCAGAGGTTAGCGATGCAGCAGCCTGGCATTAGAATGCTGGATTATGACTTAAAGCTTCAGTTCACTGTAAAAACTAAAACGTAAAGTGAGAAGGCGCCGCCTCGCCCCAGCGCCACCTTCAGGAAGGCGAGTGGAAAGCAAGCCTTCGGGAAAAGTCATGCGGGGGGAAGAATGCTGCGGTTTGGAGACAGTGCGTTTGTGACAATGCTAAAGAGTTCGCTCACGTATCTACACAGTGCGGGTGCGAGTGCCGCCAGCCCACTCGGAGCTGGGAGAACGCCGAGGGGCTGCGGGTGCTCCACCGGGCCGGAGTGCTGTTCCTGTAGTGTCGCTCACTTTTCCGCAGAAGGTGATTGCAAGGTCACAGTCTATTCCTCAGGGCGAGTGGTGACTCCAGGCTGCAGCCAGTTGCTGACTCTCTGTGTGTGCGGCAGACAGTTTAAAATCCCAGGGTGCATCTCTGCCTATGACCGTGTTACTGAGAAGCAAGTCAAGGAAGCCAAATTGGAACCTGCTGATTCTTAAGAGCGGTGGAAAGGGACAAGCGTCCGGCCTGCTGGGCAGCAGTGCCCTAGAGGCGGTGGCACAGCCGCGGTCCTTTGGTTCCAAGTGGAGATTGTCCGAGGCAGGAGGAGACAGCTTGGACTGCGAGGCAGCTCTGTCTCTTGGGTTTGCGTGAAGCAGAGGCGTGGCGTCCGTCGTTTTGATGATACGACAGTAAAGGCCTTTCTTCAGGTCCTCATGTCAAGGTGAGCATACCCAGTATGCTAGAGAACTGACAACGAAACCTTTAAATCAAGGCCTCTTTCATAACCCAAAAACAAAACAAAACAAAAAAACCCAAAACCCACAGTAGGAGAGGCGATGATGCTGAAGTGTCGTCCAGCGGTCCCTGCAGTGCCCAGGGCGCCCTGGGCCTCATTCATTGTCCTCCCTCATCTCTACGATGTCCGTCACCTCCTCTGTCGGTGGCATGTCGGTCATGGCAGAGTCCTCGCCCTCAGTGGCTGACTCGTTCTCCATCTTCTTTTTCTAGATCAGAGAGGACACAGCAGTGAGGGGCTGTGGACAGGGACGCATGCTAGCAGAACCGTGAGTAAGGAGGGGCCCTCACTGCAGACCAAGATCTTGGTTCACCATGGGCACCTCTTGGTTTAGCACCTTCCTCTTCGCTGGGTTACTCACATGTCTGCTGTGTACCTGGCACCGTGTTAGGCACTCCTGGGGCATGCCCCCACCCACCCACCCCCCTGCCTCGGCTTGGGATTGCACGGTACAGAACATCCCTCTTTGTCCTGCCATCAGCTGGTCCTTTCTGGGGCAGCTCCAGGCTCACTGTCATTCTCTCCTGCTCATCACCTATCCTAAGTCCTGCTGCTTCCCTGCCATGTTGCCCGTTCTTGCAGAAAACACTTCTCAGGGCTTGGGTCCTCAGCCACTTGCCGGGCTCATGGCCGAGCTGGTCAGCAGTGCCACTGTTGGGAGACTGGCCTCTGCCCCCTCCCAGTCCAGCCCCCCGTTCTCCAGGTCTGTGCTTTCTCCTTTAAATGAAATGCTCAATAATTATGACCACCTCCTGGCCTGCAAAACCCTGACCTTGTTTAGGCCCAAATCTGTGCCAAGCTGGCTGCCAAGGCTCTGGAGCTCCAGGGCTAGGGCTGTTATCCTGCCATGCACCCGCCTGGCCTCTGCCTCCCTCTCCTGGCCGACTGCTGCACCCCTTGTATATCCTCCTTGTTCCTCAGCTGATGAACTGGCTTCCTACTCTTCTGGGTGCTTTTGTTTTTTTTTTTTTTTTCCCCCAGAAAAGTGCTTGCACCAGCTCCCCAGACCACACTACCCTGGGACTGTGGAGGGAGGCTCCTCCTGTGTGCACTGGACCCACTCGTGTCACTGTCTCCTAGATCCTTCCCCAAGCACAGTCTGCCAAGTTGCACTCATCTTAAGTGGTTTTCTGAAATCTACCTCCCTGCCCCCCACCTCCTTTGTGACAGATTTCTCAAAGGGCCAGCTGCACTGCTGCCTTCAACTTCTCTCCAGACCCCGAGACTGCTGCACGCCCTCCTCCAGATCATGTGTTGGGTCCCCTTGCGCTTTTGGCTGCCTGCCACATCCCTCCTTTCTGCTCATGGGCTTTGGTTCTTCCTGACTTCTCAGCCTGTGAGTGCTGGTGAGGCCCTGAGCTCCATCCATGGGCCTCTTCGCCTCTGCCTGCATTCATTCTCTGGTCAGGCTCATCCGGCTTCCGCTGAATGAATGAAGCAAGATGGGGCTCCTGCTGTCTGAGAATCCATAGATCTCAGAAAAGAAACACCCCCCGGGTCATTTGCTAATTGCATGTTGAGCTGGCCAGCATGGACAGCAGACACTCTGCAGGGGACAGGGTGTCTGTCCTGTGCATGTCTTTTCTAGCCCAGGCATTTTCCTAGCAAGAGTCTGAGTTTGTAAGATCTTTGGGCAGGAGTGCGGTGATCACCTTTGCAGGATTTTCCGACCTGCTCAAAACTATGATTCGGTTTCTACGTTAACTCCCTGCAGCTCACACCCTTGGCTCATCTGTCCTGAGATGGGACTGCCTTTTCAAACAAGGCGAGCCTAAGGAGTAACCATGTGACGACAAAGCAGGAAGGCAGCCCTGGTGAAACAGGGGGCGGTGCCATGCTCATGCCCAGGGCGAAGGTAAGTTGGCTCCCACTGTGGCTGCCCCGACGTGTGGGCCCCGGGCTCCCATCCTCCCACGGTGGGAGGCGGTGGCACAGTGCTCTCACCTGCTTCCGATAGACGTAGCATGCTGCGATGGCCACCATGGTGGACTCTCCCACGAATCCTGCCAGGAGGGAGCCCACGCCCAGGGTGGCTCCGTGTACTCTGGGGTGAGAAGGTGAAGGCGATGTCTGAGTTAAAGCTCAGCTGAGGCACTAGAGGATCGATGCTAAAACCCAGGACAGGGGCTGAGGCGTGTGGTGCTCTCACTGTCTGCATGGGGGAGCCAGGCGCTCAGGCACCAGCACAGCCAGCGGCTCTTCCCTCTCTGTGCTCAGCGTGGCTCCCAGCACTTCCCGCCCTCCCCCAGGAGACTGGGAGCACCCGGGGGACAGAACAGCCCTCCGTCTTTCTCTGGCCTTGGCGCTGTCTGTCACTGAGCAGGAGGTGCTTGGAGAGAGTGACTTGCACAGACTATTGTGGGGGCTCAAGTGCCTCGACCTGGAGCCTGGCAGGCAGGCGAGACACACTTCTGAATGTCTGGATGTGCTTGGGCCTTCAACCTCTGGGCAGAGCACTTTAGTGGCCAAAGTACCCCCAGCCCCTGATTACCCCAGGTAGGGCAGGACCACGAGGCTGGTGATGAGCACGATGATCCGCAGCACGGAGCTGGGGGCCAGGACGAAGGTCTTCTTCAGGGTCATCAGCCACCCGGTGAGATGGGCCCTCACGGTGACTGTGGGGAGAAGCGGAGGACGCGTCAGCCATGCCCTGCAGCACCCCTGAGAGCCAGGCCTGGTCACCTTGCCTTCCTGCCGGGGCTGCTGGTCCCTGCTGCATGTCCTCGGGGTCCAGACTGCAACTTGCAGGCAGCTGCTTTGCTCCACCCTGGCCGCCGCCTCCAGGATGGGCTGGGCCCGAGCTCTGCTCATCTGTTCCTCAAAGACAGGACCCAGGGAAAAGCAGCAAATTGCTGGTGGCAGAAAAGCTGGGCCCAGAAGCTGTCTTCCCTCCCACTGGGCAGGGGAGAAGGGGAGGGGGCTGCTCTTATCCCCATTTCCTTTAGGCCCTCCGGAGCCGGCCCTGCCACACTCACTTGAGGTGCTGCTGTCACATCAGTTGAACATCTATTTCCCCTACCCAGACCTGTGAATTACTGCATCTAGCTGCCCTGCAGGGTGCAGACCTAGCCGGTCAGAGGTGCTGATATGGAGTCTGTCTGCCATCAGGTAGAGCCTGAGACTTAGTGCCTGGAAGGGAGGAAGCATGCACCCTCCCATGGGCAGCACCAGCACAGGCTGTTGGGGGGAGAATGTGCCCAGTCCTGGGAAAAACATTTGCTTTCAGGGGCCTGGAATCCTTGTATTTCCAAGGTTTACTTCTCCTAGGCACAGTCACACCCCTTTGGCTGTGGTCCTGGGACAGGGTATGGGTCGCAGGTGTATGCTAATCTGGCTGGCCTAATCCTAACATGTAGCCAAGGGCAGATGGGGCCTGACTGCTGTTGGGAAGCCCTCAGTCTCCCAGGTGAGGGAGAGGAGCTGGGATGAGAATACAGGTAAGTCCCACACCCAGCTGGAGTGGGCCAGGAGGTGACAACCCCAGGATTCTCAATTTAATGCTGGAGCTGCAAAAGGGGAAGAGTATACAGAGCTCTCTGTCCCAGTTCTGACTTCCCAGCGCTTGTCCTCTTCCCATAGGCAGCCCCAGCCCCTGCTTGACAACTTCCTTCTAGAAATAGAAAATAGAGGCACAAGCACGCAGCATGTACATATGTTTGTTACAGAAGTGGTCACAGACCAATCAACTCTTCTGTAGCATGTAACCTAGAACTACCTGATTCTTGTATCGCATACCCGACGTGGGTATAGAGCACAGCCTGCAATGTTCTGAGAGTTGAAAGTTCACCCCCACAGTGCAGTACCTGGGTTCAAGACCTGGCTTCTAACCCCAGCTTCCTGCTAGTACACACCCTGGAAAGCAGCAGTGAGGACTGAAGTCCCACATGGGAGTCCTGGATTGAGCTCCCAGCTCCTGGCTTTAGCCTGACTCAGACTGGACCTTTACAGGCATTTAGGGAGTCAGTCACTGGATGGGAGTTTGTACTCTCTGCCCTCTCAAATAAAAATTTCTTATTAAAAAAAAAAAGTGGGTGGAAACCTGCTTTGACGAGGTCATCAGGGTGTAGCCCCCAGGATTGAATCCTGGTGGATGTCTAAGGAGAGAGACCACAGGACACACACACACACACGGAAGCACTTCCTGTCTCTCACCCAGTGTTGTCTTGACTGCCAGCAGGACATCCATCACCAGATGTGGGCCTTCAACTTTGGACCAGAACCAGGGGCCAAGATAACTTTTTTTTTTTTTTTTGACAGGCAGAGTGGACAGTGAGAGAGACAGAGAGAAAGGTCTTCCTTTTCCGTTAGTTCACCCCCCAAGTGGCCACTACAGCTGGCATGTTGCGGCTGGCGGCACCGTGCTGATTCGAAGCCAGGAGCCAGGTGCTTCTCCTGGTCTCCCATGGGGTGCAGGGCCCAAGTACCTGGGCCATCCTCCCCTGCACTCCCTGGCCAGAGCAGAGAGCTGGCCTGGAAGAGGGGCAACCGGGACAGAATCCGGCGCCCCGACCGGGACTAGAACCCGGGGTGCTGGCGCCGCTAGGAGGAGGATTAGCCTATTGAGCCGCGGTGCCAGCCCAAGATAAACTCTTTTCAGGTATTTATAGTGACAACCTGATACTGTATCAGCCTGTGATTATTCAGATTGGCTTTTAGACCAAATGCCACCCAGCCTTCACTCTGGCCCTGGATTCTGCTTTTTCTCCGGTAGTCCTTTCTTTTACATGTCCAGGTTTTAGCAGCTTTTTCAATTTTACTTTTATTTTTTATTTATTTATTTATTTATTTTTTGACAGGCAGAGTGGACAGTGAGAGAGAGACAGAGAGAAAGGTCTTTCTTTGCCATTGGCTCACCCTCCAACGGCTGCCACGGCCAGCGCACCGCGCTGATCCGATGGCAGGAGCCAGGTGCTTCTCCTGGTCTCCCATGGGGTGCAGGGCCCAAGCACCTGGGCCATCCTCCACTGCACTCCCTGGCCACAGCAGAGAGCTGGCCTGGAAGAGGGCAACCGGGACAGAATCCGGCGCCCCGACCGGGACTAGGACCTGGTGTGCCGGCGCCGCTAGGAGGAGGATTAGCCTAGTGAGCCGCTGCGCCGGCTTCAATTTTACTTTTAAAGATAACTTGCTGTCCGGGACACATCCCCTTGTGGGTGTTTGCCTTAGCAGTTAGGATGCCTGCCTCTACTCCAGCTTCCTGCTAACGCTGCTCCTGGGAGGCAGCAGTGGTGGCTCAAGTAATTGGGTTCCTGCCACCCACATAAAAGACCTGGATTGACTGCCCAGCCCCTGCCTCACCAAAACTTGGCCATCTCAGGCATTTGAAGAGTTAACCAGCCTGCTCTGTCCTTTTCTCTCTTCCTCTCAAAAATTAACATATCGTACACTTGGCCTTTTGGGATATAGTTCTGATACATCCACAGACTTGAGTACCACAATCAGGATGGAGGATCTATTTCTATCTATTGTTTCAACTTGGGAACAGCTTTTGTTTTGTTTTTTAAAGTGCAGTGGTTGCAAACCCAATTAAAAAAAATTGAGGCTGGCACTGTGCCACCTGAGATGCCAGCATCCCCTGTGGGTGCTGGTTCAAGTCCTGGCTGCTTTCCATCCAGCTTCCTACTAGTGTCCTGGGAAAGCAGTGGAAGGTGACCCAAGTATTTAGGCCCCTGGCTCTTTATTAATTTATTTTTATTTTTTTATTTTTTTGACAGGCAGAGTGGACAGTGAGAGAGAAAGGTCTTCCGTTTTGCCGTTGGTTCATCCTCTAATGGCTGCCGCGGCTGACGTGCGGCGGCCGGCGCATCGCACTGATCCAAAGCCAGGAGCCAGGTGCTTCTCCTGGTCTCCCATGTGGGTGCAGGGCCCAAGGACTTGGGCCATCCTCTACTGCACTCCCGGGCCACAGCAGAGAGCTGGCCTGGAAGAGGGGCAACCGGGACAGAATCCGGCGCCCCGACTGGGACTAGAACCCGGGGTGCCGCAGGCGGAGGATTAGCCTATTGAGCCGCATCGCCGGCAGGCCCCTGGCTCTTGTCTGCCCCAGCAGGACATCTAGGGAATGAACCAGCAGATGGAAGATCTGTCTGTTCCTCTCTGACTTTTGAAGAAGAAACAAATGCCTGTTTGATTCATTTCTAAAACTTTCAACCTACTGTCTAATGTCTGGATATTTCCATTCCACGTGGGATTTTACGTTTTTGTTGGTGATGTGACTACAGATATTTCCAAAGAAATAAGGGCTCATGGGGCACGAAGGTAACTGGGAATGCTGTTTTCGCTTTGTTTACCTGGAACCGGAAAGAAGGAGAAGATCCGCAGAGGAACAACGCAGAGCTCCGCGAAGGCGAAGTCTACTCCGATGATGTCAATCAAGATCTTCTCGGAGACGTTGGGGGTCCAAAACATCACAAAACAGAGCTGGGGGCAAGAAGACAGGGAGGCCGGTCGTCAGATAAAGGCATGAATGAGTGAAATGAACGCGCCAGGCATGACCTGACAGCTGCGGAGTTGTGCAAGATGGCGGACCTGGCCGGCAGGTAGCTGCGTGTCCCTGCTCACAGGCTCTGGTCCATTTGCCACATCTGGCTCACCCACCACAGCAGGGCAGATGTGGCACTTTTCAACAGTGGCAGCATCTGAATGGGTAACTGGGCCAGTGAGGGAGACCAGTGTTCTCCCATCGACACTCAGCTAGGCTGTGACACAGCTTAGCTCAGGGTGGACGCCATGAGACAATTTTTACAACTTTACCAAAATAGTAAAAAGTAACCTAAAAGATTTTGGTGTGCATAGAACCGCACTGAACTAGCACACATGATGAAAAACGAGTACTAGTATTTTTAATGTTTATTTTCATCTAATTGCAAGGCAGAGCAACTGAGAGAGACTTTTTCTGCTGGTTCACTTCCCAAATGCCCACAATAGCCAGGCTGACACTAGAAGCTCAGAACTCCATCTGGTCTCCCATGTGGGTAGCAGGGGCCCAAACACTTGAGCCATCATCCACTGCCTACCAGGGTGCATTAGAGGAAGCTGAGTTGGAAGTGGCACTTTGGCCTAACTTGCTGCCCCATGTGCCCGCCGTGGCATATTAATATTTAGAGTATTTATTAGCCTGTTAGCTTTTCAAGATTAAGAAAAGAGCAGCGACAAAATTTGGAAGCAGATGGTCAAGGGCAGATGAAACCCGAAGCTGATGTGAATGCGGAGCCCTCTGCCCACTGTCCATCCCCACAGATCAGGAAGGGGGGCCCAGAGCAGGCTGGCGGGAAGTCCAGTTAGGAGGCGGTCCATCCACAGTCTCCCCGCACCTGCCAGGACTGTCCCTGGACAGGGTCAACTGAGGCCCAGCCATGACCCAGGTGCCAGGGATGAAGGGAAGCAGGACATGCTGACCCTGTCTGTCTGCTGTTCGGCTCCCAGTATACAGGAAGCCAGTTCAGTGCCCCCAAAAGGAGCCCTGCGTGTCTCTGAGAGTCTGACCAGCCCCAGAGGGAAGACCTAAAGTCTCTGAAAATGACAGGCTCTTCAAGAGGCAGCCCCGCCTGACCAGCCTGAGGGAGGCCCACAGGGGACGAATCTCACCCAAGTGCTCAGCCTCTAATCAGCTGCAGGTGGCTCACCTGCAGAAATGAGACAATCAGGGATGAAGCGGACAACACAGAGAGGGAAAAAGCTTCCCCGCTGATGTTCTCACAGACAAGACACTGCGTGGATGAAGCTAGAATGGAAATGCTATATAAAAGCATTCACAGAACAAAACAGAAGATTTTGTAATTAAGAAGATGGAGGCAGAAATGGAAAATTTATGAACAGACAGTAAGATAAAGCTGGAGAAGTCCACAAAAACAGGTATAATAAAAATAAAGGCCTAACGTTTAAATTGTAGGGTTTCTTGAAAGAAGAAAACAGCAAAATCTCGGTGCTGGAATGCAGGCAGTACAGTGGGTGGGAAAAGACACCCCCCCCCACCACCACCCAGGCACATCACCAGGCAGTGCTGGGGACACGGATCCTGGCAACACTGAAAGCTAGCAGATACCAAGTAGTGAGTTTGGAGGGAAAATGATTTCCATCCAGAACTCTGCACCAGCTGCGAGACAACAGTGGTTTTAGAAAAGACATTTTCAAGGCTGGCGCCGCGGCTCACTAGGCTAATCCTCCTCCTAGCGGCGCCGGCACACCGGGTTCTAGTCCCGGTCGGGGCGCCGGATTCTGTCCCGGTTGCCCCTCTTCCAGGCCAGCCCTCTGCTGTGGCCAGGGAGTGCAGTGGAGGATGGCCCAGGTGCTTGGGCCCTGCACCCCATGGGAGACCAGGAAAAGCACCTGGCTCCTGGCTCCTGCCATCGGATCAGCGCGGTGCGCCGGCCGCAGCGCGCCGGCCGCGGCGGCCATTGGAGGGTGAACCAACGGCAAAAAGAAGACCTTTCTCTCTGTCTCTCTCTCTCACTGTCCACTCTGCCTGTCAAAAAAAAAAAAAAAAAAAAGACATTTTCAATATTCAAGGTCTCAAAATATTTACCTGTTACATGTACTTTTAAAAAAAAATTGGACTAGCGTGGTGGTGTAGCAGGTAAAGCTGCAGCCTGCAGTGCTGGCATTCCATATGTGTGCCAGTTCAAGTCCTGGCTGCTCCACTTCCAATCCAGCTCTCTGCTATGGCCTGGGAAAGTAGTGGAGGATGGCCCCTGCACCCACATGGGAGAGCAGGAAGAAGCTCCTGGTTTCAGATCAGTGCAGCTCCTGCCTTATGGCCATCTAGGGAGTGAACCAGCAGAAGGAAGACTTCTCTCTCTCTGCCTTTCTGTAACTCTGCCTCTCAAGTAAATAAATAAATCTTAAAAAAAAAAAAAGTATTGAGAGTAGGCTCTGTCACAGGGAAAGAAAGAGGAAACCACAGGAAAAAAAGGGGGGGGGGTGAATCTCTAGAGTGAAGGGAAAAGAAGATCCTAGGAGGGGCACACGTGGTGCCTGAGGTTGAGCCTGCCTTAAGCTTGGGGTGCCTGCACCCATACTGCAGTGCTGGTTTGAGTCCTGAGTGCTTTACTTTCCATCCAGCTTCGTGCTAATAAATCCTGGGAGGAAGCAGGTGATGGCTCAAGTGCTTGGGTACCTGCTGTTCACATGGGAGACCCAGGTGGAGTTCCAGTCTTCTGCTTCAGCCTGGGCAGACCTCACTGCTAAGGGAATTTGGGGAATGAATCAGCAGATGGACTCAATCTCGCACTCTCACTGTGCCTTCAAAGTAAATGAAAATAAATAATCATTGAAAAAATATTCCAGGAAGGCTGGATTGGCCCACAGGCAGTGAATCTGCAGTGCAGCGGGTGTCAGGAGGCTGACACTTGAAGAACGTGAGCAAGTGGCACTGCTACTAGGTCTGAATTCATGACACAGGTATACGTGATGGAGGGACAGTATGATGATAAATCAGTATTTAATACACTAAGAGCAGGAGAAATTACAATTAAGATGGTCACTAAGTCCTGGAAAAACCAAAGATGCTTAAGTAAAGCATTGGACCTGGGGGAAGGTTATCTTGGTAGCAGTCTGGGAAGGGAGATAGTAGGCGGCGGTAGGCGGCGTGGGTACTGCTACTGGGGATCCTTGTAGAACTGACTTGACATTTTGTGCTCATTTAACAAACTGAATTGAAAGTATTGATACAACTTTGGAAAGTGATGTCACAACCATTCCAGCGCCATCAAATATCTACCTGCTTTACATGGAAGTGATTCTTTTCTGAAATAAAGCAGAATACACTCTAAAATGAATTCATCATATAAAAACGGAACACTGAAATTTGAGAACGTAACATCCCCTAGGCTTTGGGTGAATTAAGTTCCCTGGAACTAGGCTGGTCTTATTTACTATGTCATATTGTAAATATATGTCACTTTATTAACGGAATAGTTTTCTCTTCCTACGTATTTCAGCATCAGGAGAGTATATGCCACTGGTGTTTGAAACCAGCAGATGTACTGCTGTGTAATCCTGTTGGCTGGTGTGAGTACTCTCCTTTTTTGACATGAAGGGAAAAATACTTCAGGGACTTTATTTTCTATGCCCTGGACAAGTGGCCCTGTCATCTTTTCCCACTGCAGTGCTGCCAGCCCCAAATGGTGAGACATCATTCATGGCGACAGCCCAGCCGTGGAGGCAATTTGATATAACAATTCCAAAAAACGCTGAGCATGGCATCAAGATGCGATTTAGTACCCTGTCTATACCCCATCCCAACACATAGATGGAGTATCCCTCCTTCCAGCTTTGCTCTGAGACTCCCAATATTTCCCATGGGAGTAAAGCTGGAGAGAATTGAGGTAAGAGAGCACCTGGAAGTCTGGGAAGAATCTGTGTCTTAGAGCTGCAGAGAGCAAGCCAGCCTGTGTTACTGCAGTGATGAAAAGTGAGAGACCTGGGCAACCCTGCTCCCAACCTCCGCTTCTAGCAGAGTCACTAGCATGCTTTAATTTGCAGCCATTGTTCATGTGAATATGAGACAATGCCTCAAATTAATGTTGCAGTCTCTCTGGGCTTTGCAAGATCATCAAAGTGGCTTTTAAATGACACCCAAGAAAAGAGGAGGATGTGGCCGTCTGTCAGAAGGATGGTGCCATCACACCTCTGCAGCACATGAGCCAGTGCTTTCTCCCTGTGGCCTCTCTGCCTGGGTAATGCTCCCCTGGAGGCTCTTTACTGCTTGTAGGAAATGATCCATCAACCCTTGGAGGAAGGAGTACAACCAGGACAGGACCAGAGTGAGTGTGTCACAGCACAACAGCTCATCTGGGCCAGCGACCACACTTGGGGGACCCTGAATACAATCGCAAAGTCAACATGGTTGAATTCTAACAGGAGCTTAATGGGAAGCAATCTCAAATTTATTCTGAAACGTCCACAGCATGATTTAATGTGGCACTGCTCAATCACTGTGTTCCTTATCTGGTTTCTCTCTGTGCCCAAGCACACCCTACATGCTCAGAGAGGCACCCAGAGTTTTCAACCCCACATACCCTGAGCCTAGACAGGGCCCCTAGGGATACTGTAAGTATAAGTTCTCAGTGCGGACGAGGGCTTGAGCAGTCCGAGAAAAGTAAAAGGAAGGAACCTCCTTCTTCTTCCCTAATACATCTGAAGCTGGGGCCATGCTTCCAGTATGGAAATGCTGCCTCGCCTTCTGGCAAATTCTTCAACCAAAGAACAGTTCCTGCGTCGTCAGAAAGGAGAACATGAACTCGAAGTAGGTATGGCGCTGGCTAAAAGCTACAACACCTCATCTGCAGGTCAGCTTTCTCCACGCAAAGTACTGAGTCCTAACACAATCCCCAGACCACAGCTAACCAGTCTGTTCCAGAAAATAAGAAGCCCTGGGAGTTAACCCGGCAGAGAATATTTTAGGAAAGTGTCATTCTACG